TTTTTTAAACACTAAAACTCACCTGCATCAACAAAAATAATTTAAAATTTGCTTTTCGTTGTAGAGCATATCTATTCATTCGTCTTTATTACATAYTGAAGAAGTCTTAACGCTACCGCTTACTACATTGTTCAGCTAATAGCTGGCTTTGTTTACTTTAAACAATAGTTGCCTGATTAAATGTACAACAATGACAGGAATATATGTATAAAAGAGAATACAAAAACATAATWATTGCTTTTTTGTAGGCAAGTTTTGATTGGTAGCGTATTAAAAATCAAAGACAAGCTGGTTGCTTAAGAAAAATGCAATAATTTCAGCGCTTTAAGTGACTTTTGTGGTGGCTTGCTTTGAATTAGCTTTGAAGTTCTACGAAMAGACATTTAATCAAATAGTTTATGTACAAATCTAACAAGCGAAGTTCTGTAATAACACATACATACCTACATAAAAATACATATATGTAAGAGACTCCAATGTAATCGTTTTCATCGACAGRTTTGTTAGTCAAGCTCTTGTAAATACATACAAGCTAAAGTATTGTTTGTTTATAAGTGTTTGTGTTTGTGTTTGCTTTGTGTGCACAGATCTTAAGAGATTGCAGCAATAATGAAGACTAAGATTTTATTGAACTATTTTCTGTTAATATTAGGTAGCTACTACTGAAATGGCTTGCAGCCGTCAGYGATAAGCACGTGTGTATTTAATTGTAGATGCCAATGGTGAATACAATTTTTGAAATTCTTAAAGTCTTAATACATTTCTTGGTTTATTTGTTAGCTGTTCTAATAAGAAAATAAGCTTAAATCGTTTAAAAACACGAAAATGCATTCTAAGTAAGGTAGGGAGATATGTGACATAGTTGTCCGATCTGGTCGATTTCGACAAATGATCTATGGATTGATAAAATGTATCTAYTTATATATTAAATTTCTGTGGGATATCTCAAAAACTGACGAACAAATTTTAATAATTCCTAAAAAACTTCGCATAAAAAATCCGCTGGTTTTAGACAAAAAAATTTAAAATTCTWCAGAATGAGCCGAGGAGTATTTGAATATGCGATTTTATATAAAAAAAAAAACCTATGCGCTCTAGTAGTCTTATGTAAATTTTTATTTCTTAGAATATTCACAATTTGAATGTTGATTTCTTTAATTCTTCATAARCAACCTTTTTCATGCTTTCAACACATAATTATCACAACAACAACTAAATAATAGCACTAATTGTAGACTTCCTACTTACACCACTAATTTTTGTTTATAATAATAGCTTTAGAAATTTTAAAAATACTTACTGTACTCGAAAGTAGCACTATCCACGTGACTAGTGGCAAAAATATTCTCATTTTTGCTGCAAAGAAAGARAAAAACATAAAATTAAATAACGAAAATCAGTAAATTGCTATGAATAATTTTCATAAATGCATTTAGCAGCTATGCAAATAATMTGAATTATAGACGAGTTTGCGCAATAACAGCTATCGAGCAAAGCGCGCATGAGCAGACGAGTGGCTATAAATAAATAAGCAAACATAAATGGCTTACAACAACAGTGAGGGTAATTAGC